CACCCGGATGGTGGCCCGAGTCTTCCAGGCCGTCCTAGGGCGCACCATGGAGGCCTATGTTGACGACATGATCGTCAAAAGCAAACAATCTTCCAGCCATGCCGACGACCTCCGGGAAATCTTCGCCATCATGCAAAGGTTCAACCTTCGGCTAAACCTGAAGAAGTGCACCTTCGGCGTCCAAGGGGGCAAATTCTTAGGCTACATGGTGAGCCGAAGGGGCATTGAGGCCAATCCTGAGAAGATCCAGGCCATCATCAACATGGAGCCCCCGCGCAATGTGAAGGAAGTTCAACGGTTGATGGGCCGCCTGGTAGCCCTCAACCGCTTTCTATCTAAATCAGCGGAGAAGTCTCTACCCTTCTTCCAGATCATGAGGAAGACGGCTGGCTTTCAATGGACCCTGGAATGCCAGGGGGCTTTCGACGAGCTCAAACGATATCTATCTTCACCCCCTGTGCTCTCCAAACCAAAGGTAGGGGAGACCCTCTATCTCTACCTTGGGGTCAGCCCGGCAGCCATCAGCTCCGTACTCATCCGGGAGGAAGACGGCATCCAACATGCCATCTTCTATGTAAGCAAGACCCTAAGGGAGGCCGAGCTCAGGTACTCTCCTGTGGAAAAAACGGTGTTAGCCATCGTTTGGACCGTCAAGAAGTTGGGCCACTACTTTCAGGCTCACCCGGTTCAGGTCCTCACTCATCAACCCCTCGGCGCCCTCATGAGGAGCCCCACCAGCTCCTCCCGCATGGTGAAATGGGCTATCTTCTTGAGCCAGTACAACATTGACATCCGTCCGAGGCCTGCCATCAAGGGCCAAGCCCTGGCGGACTTTGTGACGGAGTGTACCGCAAGGGCAGCCACGGACGGGGAGCCCTCGGCTACCTCGGACGGCTGGTGGACCCTCTACACCGACGGCTCCTCCGCGGCCAGAGCATGCGGGGGAGGGGTAGTCCTCGTTACTCCCGAGGGCTTCAAAGCCTACTATGCAATCCGCTTCTCCTTCAAAGTCTCCAACAATGAGGCCGAGTATGAGGCCCTCCTATGTGGCCTTCGGCTGGCTGCCAACATGAAGGCTCGACAGATCCACATCAAGTGCGACTCCAAGTTGGTCGTTGGCCAAATCTCCGAGGAGTATGAGGCCAAGGAGGGAAGAATGAAACAGTACAAGGAAGCGGCCAAGGAGTTGCTTAAGGTATTTGAGGCACACTCTCTCACTCAAATACCGAGGGCTCAGTTATGAACATACAACAACGCCAAAAGGACTGTATCTCAGATATCATCACCTTCATCTCCACGGGGCAGCTACCCGAAAACGAGACCCGCGCTAAACTAACAAAGCTGAGGGCTCCTAGCTACACCATCGAAGACGGAAGGCTCTACAAACGGTCTTACAACAGCACGCTACTTCGGTGCCTTCATCAAGATGAAGCCGAGGTCGCGATGGAGGAAGTGCACAGTGGCACTTGCTCAACTCACCAGGGACCCTTCTCCATGTCCCGAAGGCTCATTCTCCAGGGCTACTTCTGGCCAACCATGGCCAGGGATTGTGCTGACCTTGCCCGAAGGTGCACCGCATGCCAACATTTCCAGAAAGCCCCCGGCAGGCCAGCGGTCAACTATGCCCCCATCAGCACATCCGTCCCCTTTTCTCGATGGGGGATAGACCTTGTGGGCCCTCTGTCGAGGGGTACCTCCAACAACAGGTACATCATTGTGGCCATCGACTACTTTACCAAGTGGGTGGAGGCTGAGCCCCTCGCCAGTATCACAGAGGCGAAGTGCCGTCATTTTGTCCTCAAGAACATCCTCACAAGGTTTGGCGTCCCCCAGCAGATCATCTCCGACAACGGAACGCAATTTGAGGCAGCCCCCTTCTGTGCCCTTCTGGAGGCATGGGGCATCAAACACACCTTCTCCTCCGTTGCCTACCCTCAAGGCAACGGGCAAGTAGAAAACGCCAACCGGACCTTGCTCGAGGGCCTAAAAAAGAAGCTGGAGGCCGAGGGCGGTGGCTGGGTGGAAGAACTCCACAACATCCTTTGGGCCTACCGCACCACCCCTCGGCGAGCAACAGGTGAAACACCCTTCTCCCTCTGCTACGGTTTTGAAGCCAAAGCTCCTACGGAAGTCACCCTTCCCACCCGGAGGGTGATCCAATATGACCCCGAGGTCAACGACAGCAACATGGCCCTCGACCTCCACCACCTTTCAGAACGCCGGGAGCAAGCCTTCATCCGGGCAGAAAACTACCGAAGGCAAGTCAAATGATACATCGACGCCAAGGTTCACACCCGAGAATTCCAAGTGGGGGACTATGTCCTCCGGAGGAGGGAAGCCAGCCAGCCGACCGAGGGAGGCAAAATGGCACCAAAGTTCGAAGGCCCCTACATCATAGCAGCCATCATCAAACCTGGGACTTACAAGCTCAAACGCCCCAACGGAAAAGAGGTCCCTAGGCACTGGAATGCACACCACTTAGTTAAATTTTATCAATAATGTAAGAGCGGCCAAGCCCTCATAACTAGTGAAGTACTATCCTATGGCCCAAGGCGTCCAATTTTGAAGAATGAAGACACATTCAAGACACCAAGAACAAGCGCAAAACACTTATGAGAGGCCAAGCCCTCATACCAACTACAGGCCCCAAGCCTCACCACGAGAAGAACCCCCTCCGGCACCGAGTGCTGAGGGCGGACACCATCAACACCTTCAACAACAGTGGAAAATCCAAGTGTTTCAAACAAGACCCCTCGGTACCAAGTACCGAAGCTGGGAACTCCCATCACCGGCAACAGGAAACACCAAGTGTTTCATTTCAAGACCCTTCGGCACCCAGTGCCAGGGGTACACATCTCCACCATCAAACATAAAAAAGAAGAACACCAAGTGTTCCTACAGAAGACCCTTCGGCACCCAGTGCCGGGGGTACACATCTCCACCATCAACATCAAAGAGAAGAACACCAAGTGTTCCTACAGAAGACCCCTCGGTACCAAGTACCGGTGGTACACAACTCACCCATCAACGTCAAATAGGAGAAGAACACCGAGTGTCCCTACAGAAGACCCCTCGGTACCAAGTACCGGGGGGCTACATACCGAAACTAACACCAAGTGTTGTTTCTAAAGCCGTACCCCACGAGGACGCATATACCGAAGGCGCCACCATCGGTGCCGGCGGCACGTAGTGCCCCCGGCCATTTGCAACTAGTGTGCAAATGAAAACCCTTCCTTGAAATGCTTTCTGCGTCACTACCCCCAGGATATGACAGGCATGAGATATGCCCAGGATTCGACTTTCAAAAACGGAACGCTTTCCGCGTCATCACCCCAAGGGTATGACAGGCACGAGAAATGCCCAGGATTCGACTTCCAAACCGAAACGCTCCCCGCGCCACCACCCCAAGGGTGTGGCAGGCCACAGACTATGTCTAGCGCCGATGGGATGACTTTCAAAAATGAGGCGCTTTCCGCGCCATCCCCCAAGGGGAGGCAGGTTACAGACCACCATATCTTGTACCCAGGAAACGACCCTCGATCCCCTCGGAACTCGGAAGGTTAACCTGAGGGAGGAGAGCCATTGGTGTATTCTGATGGTCTCCTGATAGGCCTAGCCTTACCAAGAAACCAAGTTTCTTGATGCCTTCCCTTCACCACCAAACAAACAAAAAAAAACAAAGGGGGTGAAGGGGAGTAGACTCATCGAGAAATCAATGAGTACAACACTCCAACAAATCACAGCATGCCGAGGACTCCCTACGGGGACACCTCCGGTAACTGAAGGCTCCTACTTCCCGAAGGTTGCTACTCAACCATACAAAGGGATGAGTTCACTTCTAACAAGTGTCGAGGGCACCTACCATCGGTCATCCATTACAAAATCAAATGAATACAACTATCCTTCAAATGAATGCCGAGGGCACCTGTATCCCACCAGCATTCACTACAACGTTAACGTCCTGCAAATTTTCCGGAGGCTCACATATCACCCAACAACCGGAGGCACCTATTGCAAACCATCAAAGGCCAACCAAGGGGGCTTATCCCATAATAATGTCGCCCTCGGGAAAACTTAATTGGAAAACGCTACTAACCGAAGGCTACACAAGGAAGCAACACTTAGAAAATTTTCTAAGTCCTAAAGATTGAGCCCCCGGCCTGATCAATATTTCAACTGAGGGACCATGATAGCCGAAGGCCACGTGATACAACAGCACTTAGAAGATTTTCTAAATCCCACATATTTGGCCCTCAATCGAGTAGTCACACATCAGGAAAGGAGGCTACCAGCCGAGGGCTTCCAATGGGAAACTACACTTAGAAATTTTTCTAAGTCCTAAGGATTGGGTTCTCAACCTAACCGTCACACAGCGATTGAACTATAGTCATCCGAGGGCTCCTACTACACGCATACTACACTTAGGAAAAATTCCTAAGTCCTACATATTTTGGCCCTCGGTCAACTCTCCATACTACCGGAGGGGCCATGCGGTTGAAGACTTGGTGAAGCTATACTTAGGAAATTTTTCTAAGTCCTACACACTTTGACTCTCGGTCAAAATGCTGACCGAGGGCTCCTACTTCATACATGCTACACTCAGAAAAATTCCTAAGTCCCAAAGGATCTTACCCTCGGTGACAAGTTTCTAAGTCCCAAATCTCCCTGCAACCCGAGGGGTCATACGATTGAAGGCTTGGTGAGACTACACTTAGAAGTATTTTCTAAGTCCTAACTATAGCTGGGCCCTCGGTCATACATCTAGCGAAGGGTGCCTAACTACCGAAGGCTATGACTGTATTCAAACACTCAGAAATATTTTCCAAGTCCTGAGCATTGGGCCCTCGGTGAAAGCTTCAATTGACTAAAGATTACTAGTAGCCGAGGGCTACAAGAAGCACCGCAATTGGAAGAAAATATTCTAAGTCCTAAACATACATTCAAAGGAACAAAGGCATACATTCAAAATGAAACGAAGGTATACATTCAAAAGAAAAGAAGGACAACACATTCATATACAAAAGCCCGAAGGCTAACATTCATCCATCAATCATCAAAAGGAAAGTCAGTGTTACTATTACATACGGGCCAAAGCCGAGGGGTGACAAAGGTTCATTACAAAGAGTTTTCAAAAATCAGCTAAGTACAAGTTAAGATTTATCAGCCACTTCATCGACGGTCCCTGCGGCAGGTTTGGAGGAGATTTCTTCTTCGACGGCATTGTCCCCGACGGTAGCACCATCATCATCGCCGCTCATCATCATAGAATCATGAATCACCGGGCGCTCGTCGCCCTCAGGGAGGGGGACTCTCACATCTGGCTGCAACGGGGGGAGGCCGTACACCGACGGGTCAAACTCCGCCAGGGGGGTGCCGAAATGCCGGGAGAGCCTCCGGTAAACCAGATGCTGGGTGAAGAACTCGCCGACTTGATAATAGGTGTCGCCCCTCTCGTTCATCCAGTCGAGCCCGGGGCCTTTCACCCACTCCTCGATCGAGGCCTTCACCACAGAGGCCACCCACTCCCTCTGGCCCTCGGCCTTCCAACCCTCGGAGATGAACCCAGCGATGGCCTCTTCTCGGGCTTTGACAACAGCTTCGGCCTTGGCCTTTTCAGCGTCCTCAGCCGCTTGCTTCCTCTCCTCGGCCGCAACCCTCTCGGCCTCTGCCTTGCCCTCGGCCTTGCCGTCATCTCTGGCCTCCTTCAGCTTCAGCTTCGCTTGCCGAAAGGCGTCCTCCAGCTTGCACACCTCCCGGAGGGAAGCGTCCTTGTCATGGATCAACTCCTTCACGGACTTCTCTAGCTCGGCCTTATGACGGCGCCACTCCTCGCTCCTTCGGGCCTGCTCACCGAGGGTTATACACGCCTGTTGAATAACGGACAATGGGTTCAGACGGGCGTTGAGAATATACTAAGTGTTAAGATAAAAGCAAAGTAAAAATACTTACAGCCAGAGATGATCGAAGGGCCTTGCTTTCGAGGGCGTCGTCGTCGTAGGTGAAGAGGGCTTGCTTATCCATCATCGAGGTAATCCCCCTCAAGAAAGACATCGGTTCAGCTGAACCGTGCAACACAGATGCCCCCGGGGCGAGGGAGAGCTGAATAATCTCCCGAGGCAAGTTCTCCGGGGGAAGATCTGTTTGAGCCATTGGGGTGTCCACGGCCGGGGAGTCAGCGGAGGGCTGATCATCAATTACTATGAGGGGGGCCGCCATTCCAACGGTGCCCCCGGCAACCTTCTGTTTCTTGATCGGGGGCTCCACCCCCTTGCCTCCCTTCTTCTTCTTGGCGGCCACCTCGGCCTTCGGCCACCCGGCCACAGTAGCAAGAGCAGCATCAACAGAAGGCTCCACAACCTCCTTCGGGAAGACCTCATCAATGGGCTTTTGGCTCGAGGGCTCCTTTTTCTCCTTCTTCTGGACCTGAGCCCTCTTCTTCTTCTTCTTTTTCATGGCAAAGAGAGCCTCCATACCTGCAAAACAATGAAGAGAAAAGATTAACCCGAAGGATCCATACAACAGACAACTATCGGGATGCAAAATAAGAATGCCTAAGTACAAGACTAAGGGCCCTCGTAGGCTACCTCCTGCTCCCCCGAAGGCCTCAGCAAAAACGGGATACTTCTCGTCCGTTTCCCCGATGAAGCGGTATCTCCGGAAGCCGAGGGCGAAGAGTTCCTTGTCGGCAGTGTAATCTTTAATAGACACTTGCTTCGTGCGACCCTCCGGGATTTTGGCTATTATCAAGCCATCCTTCTCGAGAGCGGCGTTTCCAACCTTCGGATGCCGACGGAAGCGATCCCGAAGTTCCGCCGGAAATGGGCTCTCAGCAACTCTGACGTAGCACCATCGCTCCTTCCAGCCCTTATTGGACGAAGGCGCCTCTGTAAATAGCTTCCACCTAGCTATCTGCTGCAGGTTGGAGAAGCCCTCGGCATTCGCGTGACCCCCTCGGCAGAGGTTGAAGCTCTGGAAGAACAAGTCCAAGCTGGGGGTCACCCCTCGGACTCTGCAGAGGTTCAAAAAACCCGCCACGTAGGAGTGGCTATTAGGTGTCAGCTGGCAGGGGACCAAGCCAACAAGCCTAAGGTACTCCCGGAGGAAGGGGTGCAGAGGGAACTGAAGGCCCATGGAGACGGACAGTACGTGTACTGCAATACACCCCTCGGGCGCCCGAGACAGCACATCGTCAGCTCCCGGCTCGACCACCACGGCCGAGGGCCCTACGTGTAGCTGCGTGACGTAGAAATCCGCCCTGTCCGCCTTCGACTTTATCTCAAGGGCCTCAGTGTTCAGCCAAGAATACCCCTCGGGCATATCAACGGGCTTCCCTTGGTCGGCAGCCCCGACTTTCTTCCTGGTAGCAGCTTTCGCCTTCTTCTCCCTCGATTCGGGGGCTACTCTCAAGGGCGACGGGTTCAGTGGCCTCGAGCTGCTTGCATCACCAGAGCCGCGGGGGGGGGGGGGGGGGGGGGAGGACAACCACTGTCACCCTTGTCCTCTTTTTTGCTTCCTCCTCCTCTGCAACCTGCACGGCGAGGGCTAGGTCTTCGTCCTCCGCCTCCTGCTCAAAGCCCTCGGCTTCGACTTCAGCCGTCAGGTCTTTCTGTACCTCTATCGCCATCGCGACGTCCTCTTGGACCGAGGGCTGCTCACTTGAGGACCCAGCGTCTGAGAAGCTCTCCCCTTCCACCGATGAATCCCTCGATATGTCCTGGGAGTCTGTAACACCCCGACACCGTAGCCCCCGAGGTAGTTACTTCTGACCTCTAGTACTGTCCTCACAAACCGCCACTAGCCTTTTCCACGCACTTTGTCCTCACTCGTGCGCGCCCTGAGAAACTTCCCAGGGGGTCACCCATCCCAAGACTACTCCCGTGCAAGCACGCTTAACTTTGGAGTTCTTGGGTGATGAGCTCCCTTAAAAGGAGATGCACCTCTGTTGGTATGAGTAGTACTATTAATCCTCTTAAATTAATCTCGGGTATTACAATCACCCCCATTTAGGATCGCAACGTCCTCGTTGTGCCCTTAAACTAATCTCAATCAAATCCCAGAATCTTTTCCCCCGCTAAGTGCCTGCCCGATATCCAACGGATCAGTACACTGTCACAGGGTTGCTCTGATACCACTTGTAACACCCCGGCACCGTAGCCCCCGAGGTAGTTACTTCTGACCTCTAGTACTGTCCTCACAAACCGCCACTAGCCCCGCGCACTTTGTCCTCACTTGTGCGCGCCCTGAGAAACTTCCCAGGGGGTCACCCATCCCAAGACTACTCCCGTGCAAGCACGCTTAACTTTGGAGTTCTTGGGTGATGAGCTCCCTTAAAAGGAGATGCACCTCTGTTGGTATGAGTAGTACTATTAATCCTCTTAAATTAATCTCGGGTATTACAGAGTCACTCTGGGAAGACATCTTGGCTATAGTCCGAGGGCTCGGAAACGCTAGTGTTTTCTAAAAAATTCTATCTCCTATCCTAAGGGCACATGGCACAGCTAACTACAATGAGAAGAGCAGGGGGGAACTGACCTTAAGGCAAGGATTGATCGAGGGCTGCTGTTTCTCTCTCTAGAAATTTTGGCAGAGCTTCGCTATAGGGATTTCGCACAGGGGGAAGGGAGCCGGCCATGGGGTATTTATAGGCGCTGGAATCCGGGCTTGGGCCTGGAAACCGGGCCTCTGGTTGGACTATCATCATTACACGCCGTGTCTTCGCCCAACCGGTGACGCCGCCCACGGACGGCCAACCATCACGCGCCACGTGTACCCCCCCAACGGCTATATCCTGACGTTACATATTCCAAACGGCTATATTTCCAACGGCTATATTCTGGGAGCCCCCGGATTCTCTTACTTCACTCCACTTCATCAAGGAGAGCCTTCGGGTACACTTACCCAGAGACGCCCCCGGGTTGTGCCCACACAGTACATAACAGTCGCCTTCGAGATCACTCCTTCAGAAGCCCAAGGCTTCATATTAGGCCACCCCTCGGGGATTCCCCCTCAGCACTTTAAGGGCCGGGCAGCCCCCGGGGAGCATGCCTCATTGACGGGTAGCCTACGACACACAGGTAATGAGAGCCCTCAGGTATCCTCATCACCAACTAACCAGCAAGCACGGGCAATAATCAACTATTGCCCTCATCCATCACGCCCTCGATCCCCAGATTGAGGGGCTCCCCTTCGGCACCTCCCAGGACATCAACAGCAAGCCTCCGGCTACTCAACACATGAGCCCTCAGAACAAGGAAAGCCTACGACATTACCATTATTCTCCATTTTTGACCAAGGTTTCACATTTTCGATTCACCGTTAGGGGAATTCGGTGCACTCTTTTTCCCTCATTAGGATTTTTTCCCCCAGGGTTTTTTCCTAATGAGGTTTTTAACGAGGCATCCCCCCAAAATGAAACGAAAAGCGTCAGCCTTCGGCCCACAACAGCAGCGCGACTACTCTACTCCTTTTCACCACTTTGCAAGTGCCTCAAGGAGTGGGGGACTGGAGGACCCCCTCGGGAAAATCATTAAATTACAAAATGGTGAAAATTTCCAACAAACGGCCAAGCAATCCCTCAAGTCCCGACATGTGGGTAACTGAGGGACTGCCTTCGGCAGGGACATGAAAGCAACGACTCCTCACCAACTTCAGAGGTTACAACGGGACAACATCAAAGGGCAAGCACAAATTACTCCTTTTCCCTCAAGTACCTTTCGGCAAAAGGAGTGAGGGACTCCTGATGGAGTATATGGCCCGGGAACCCCCGGCCCACAGACTCCTACTACACCAATAAAGGCCCAACCGGCCCAGGAAGCACAGCAAGCCCCAAATTACGGCACCCCAAGCATTTAGCAGCCCACAGCGCACAATGGGGAGCCTTCGCCCCCCTGGCCGAAGGCTCAAAACTCTCACAGAATTGGTTTTCAAGCAAACTAAGAAACTGGGAAAAACGGCAGAAAACAGTAGCCCTCGGCACCTGGAGCCCTCGGCACCCAGGGGTCCCCGGCACTCAGAGCCCTCGGCTAGTCCTCTGCAGCCGAGGGCACCTCTCCCGACATAATATCCGCGCCACATGCGTACAGATCACCGTACCCTGTACAACGTCCCATCCAACAGCCGCATTAAATGCGGCCACATGCGGCTGCCAACGCCAACCAGTTGAGGTGACCTCTCGGCCAATGGACGCTTGACACGTGTCCCTGTCCGGCATTTATTGCTACTATAAATAGCACCCCATTTCCCCATTTGTAACCACGCTGAAAACACTCCACACTTATAATATACTTTCTCTCTCTATATTTACTTGCTCTGACTTCTCTCTTATTACTCCCCGTAATAACCCCTCGGATATGCTACCCCCGGGTACACTGTCCATCAGTACCATTCAGTTTTAATTATATCGGTTTTTATCGGTTTTCGTTCGGTTCTATTCGATTCGGTTTGGATTTGTTACTTTTTAATAATATATGAAGAATTTATTGAATTTCTTTAGTACCATTCGGTTTTATTTATATCGGTTTTTATCGGTTTTGGTTCGGTTCATTCTAATATGGTTTGGAAGAAATGCTATCAAACTCAAACCAAATTGCATATGGTCGATCCGGTTTCCATTCGTTCTAGTTCGGTTTGGTACAGTTCGGTTAAACCAACCCGATATGCCCATCCCTATCCAATATCCATTACCATCATCTCTCTTTCTCAGCCACTAAGCTACTCCGTGAAGATATAGAGAATTATAGGAACAAAACCCCTTTCATCTCCCTTAGTTGGGAATTGAACCCAAGACTTCTCACGAATGAGAGACACGGGGTGGATGTTCACTCATTGGATATATATAGGTTATACTCGCTCGCTTCCATTATAATTAAATTGTTATTAAATCTAATTTGATCTTTGTAAAAACCACTCTACTTTGATTTGACATATGTATTAAGGAAATGAGAATAAAGTGAAAATGTATGGTTGTGATTAGTTACAAATAATAAATGGATGTTAGTGATAAAATCATATTACCTCCGTCTCAATTCAGTTAACCATCTTTGACTTTTCCAGTCAAAGATGGTAAACTTTGACAAATTATTTTAACTAATATACAACAACAACAACATCCAAACCTTAGTCCCAAAAGATATTGGGGTCGGCTAACATGAATCGATACATGATATCACAACCAAAAGGAAAAGAAGGAATAAAGATACAAAGATAAGCTATTATGAAAAGATAATATACAAAAAAGATGAATATATATATATAAATGATAAAATAAAAAGGCTGCCAATAATGGTTATATATATAAGGATAAAAAAACTAGGAAAAAAAAGATGAGGGAAAAAGATTATCAAGATCACTCCTTCACGGAATACCCGCCCTCCACTTAGTTCTCTCCAAAATCATGCCCTCATCCAACCCCAGAAGAAGCATATCACTTCGAACTCCCCTAACCCACGTCTGTTTGGGTCTTCCTCTCCCTCTCTTCCATGCCTCTTCTCCACACATCTCAACTCGCCTAACAGGTGCATCACTCGGTCTTCTACGCACATGACCAAACCACTGCAGGCGTGACTCCCGCATCTTGTCTTCAATAGGTGCTACTCCCACCCTTTGTCTGATTGTCTCATTCCTCACGCGGTCCTTCCTAGTATGCCCACACATCCAACGCAGCATGCGCATCTCTGCCACACTCATCTTATGAATGTGACATTGTTTCACCGCCCAACACTCTACGCCATACAGTAATGCAGGCCTAATTGCTGTCCTATAAAATTTACCCTTCAGTCTAGTCGGAATACCTCGGTCGCATAGAAATCCAGACACACTCTTCCACTTCATCCACCCTGTTCTGATTCTATGGGATACATCTCCATCTAACTCACCGTCCTTCTGAATTATGGAGCCCAAGTAACGGAATATATCGCTGACTGGTATCTCCTTACCATCCAGAGTAATTCCGCTATTACCACTACTTCTACCTCCACCAAACTTGCACTCCATGTACTCTGTCTTGCTCCGACTTAGTTTGAAACCCTTATTCTCCAATGTTTGTTGCCATACTTCCAACTTTGCTTTAAGACCTGATTGCGTCTCATCAATCAATACAATATCGTCGGCAAACATCATGCACCACGGTATATCGTCTTGAATTGAATTCGTAAGTTCATCCATGACTATGGCAAATAAGAAAGGACTCAAGGCCGATCCTTGGTGCACTCCGATAGTAATAGGGAACTCTTCAGTCCTCCCTACACTAGTACGAACACTTGTAGTACAATCCTCATACATATCCATGATGATGCTGATATACTTGTGTGATATGGCTTTCCTAGTTAAGGCCCACCAAAGAACTTCTCGATGTACCCTATCATATGCCTTTTCTAAGTAAATGAATACTAAATGCAGATCCTTATGGGCATCTCTATACTTCTCCATAAGTTGCCGAAGAAGGTGAATGACCTCAGTTGTTGAGCGACCAAGCATAAAACCGAATTGATTCTCTGAAATCTTCACAGTCCTTCGAAGTCTTTGCTCAATCACTCGCTCCCAAAGTTTCATGGTGTGACTCATAAGCTTAATCCCTCGATAGTTGGCACATTCTAGTACATCACCTTTATTCTTAAATAAGGGGATAAGAGTACTCTTCCTCCAACTCGTTGGCATCTTGTTGTTTCTCCAAATCATGTTGAAGAAACTTGTTAACCACTCGACGACTCTCTCTCCCAAACTTCTCCAAGCCTCGATCGGTATGCCATCTGGCCCCATTGCTCTTTTCTGTCCCATCTTCCTCAGAGCTTCTTTAACTTCCGTTGTTTGGATCCTTCTCACAAAATCACGGTTTACCATACAATCTGGTATGGACAAATCGTCGATATCTTGCGTTTTGTTCCCGTTGAATAGTGTATCAAAGTATGATCTCCACCTCTCTTTTATCTCTCCGTCGTCCATTAATATCCTCTGATCAACATCCTTCACACACTTAACTTTTGCAATATCTTGAGTTCTACGATCACGAAGACGAGCAAGTCTATAAATATCTAGTTCTCCTTCCTTAGAGTCCAACTTTTCATACAACTCCTTGTTCACTTTCCCTCGTGCTTCCCTTACGGCTTTCTTTGCTTGTCTTTTAGCCTCCCTGTATGCTTCTATGTTCTCATCACTCCAATTTGTCCCCAACTTTTTGTAGCAATCTCTTTTGTTCCTTATGGCTTGTTTCACCTCATCATTCCACCAAGATGTGTCCTTTTTAGGTGGCCGACATCCTTTAGATTCTCCAAGTACCTCCTTTTCCACTTTGTTAATGGTCAACTCCATTGATAACCACACATCATCCACATATGTTTCATTATCAATACGCCATACATCTTCACCGACCATTTTGTGTGTAAAGCTTTGTTGAAGATCTCCCTCAAGCCTCCACCACTTTATCTTTGGCTCCACTTGTTGTTTAACTTGTATTCTATGGTTCTTACCTCGAAAGTCAAGCACAAGCATCCTATGCTGAGTGACAACACTCTCACCTGGAATAACCTTACAATCAGTGTAGCTAGTTCTCCAAGTGGTCCGTACTAAGAAGTAGTCAATTTGGGTACTATTAGCTCCACTTTTATAGGTTACAAGGTGAGAGTCTCTTTTCTTAAACCAAGTGTTCATTATAGCACACTCATACGTCAAGGCAAAATCCAAAATGTTCTTTCCCGCCTCATTCCTAGTGCCAAAACCATGTCCGCCATGAATATTCTCAAAGCCATCACGACTCGAGCCCACATGCTCGTTGAGGTCACCTCCTATGATCAACTTCTCTCCCCTTGGCACTCGTCGCACCACGTCTTCAAGATCTTCCCAGAACGGTTGAGTTGTAGATGCATCCAATCCCACTTGTGGTGCATAGGCACTTACCACAGACACAATCTCACCTCTTATCACCAATTTAATGTTCATGATGCGATCGTTCTTCCTGAAGACTTCTACCACATCCTCAACATAGTCACGCGCCACAATAATGCCTACCCCATTTCTAGTCTTATCTCTCCCCGAATACCACAACTTAAAACCTCCGGGATTAATCTCGCGTGCTTTCTCTCCAACCCATTTAGTTTCTTGCACACACATAATGCTGATATTCCTTCTGCTCATAACCTCGACTACCTCAGAAGATTTGTCTGTAAGAGACCCAACATTCCATGTCCCAAAACGCACTCTAGCATTCCACCTTCTGTTCTTAGCCCCATCTCAGACCCCACCATGCCCTTGCATATTTGACATCATCCCCGGGCAATGGGATGACGCGCCGCTTCTGGGCGGCGACCTAGCAACCTTAGCATTCTTATCACCACACCCAGGTCTATCAAGTGTAGCGTGCCCTTGCATATTTAACACCACCCCCAGGCGGAGGGATGACGCGTCACTTACGGGTGACGACCTAGCATTAGCGATATTCATATTTCGATTCATGTCATGTGATGTGACTAGGTGATACTGTTGGCCGTCACACGCCTACCACATCACCCTCCTCCTTTATCCTGGCTTGGGACACACATGATACCAAAAAAATGATATCATGGCGGAGTTAAATTATTTCAACTAATATACTCATGTAAAATTTAATAATTTTATACTTTTATAATAGTATTTTTGACAACTTTGTTTATACGATAGTATATTTTTGATATTATCAATACTTATGTATATAAATATATAACCTGTCAAACTTAGATACACTGACTTGAAAAATAGTGTTTGACTAACTAAAATGGGATGTAGGGAGTATTTTTTTAGGATGCAAAAAATGTAATTGAGAATTTTTTTTGGGAATAAAGAAAATACAATTTTGTTTTGTAATTGCGTATTAAGAATGAAAACTTTAATTGTCAATAGTAATTTAAGAGTTCTACTAGTCCCAAGATTAACTTTCAAACATCTTCTAATTTTCCGATGGAGTGTGTAATCTTGCCAAACTCAGAAGGAAACAAATCTTAGGGTAGAGGAGCATATTCCCTTGGTCCCTCCTACAAAATTTCCCACTTATTGAACTATTTAACATGTGTTGAAATATATTAAATTAGTCATCTTCCAACTATTCCTGATTAGGCATTATTATCACCATTGTATAAATAATTAGGAAATCATAATTATGATTCTAGATGATAATTGTATGGTTCACAATTATCCTCTAATCCTAATAACTTAACTTTTCTCCTATAAATAGGAGTCTTCTCCATTGTAATTAACACATCATTAGAACATCTCTAATACATCTCTCTATCACTAAGTGTTCATACTATACTTTCTCTCCCTGATCTTCTGATTATTTCCTTCCATATTATAACACGTTATCAACACAAATTTGCTCTGAATCCTTGAAATCATCATCTTTCAACAGGTATATATTTCCACGAATTTATAAAAAAAAATCAGAGGTTGAGAAGTATGAACATGTTTGGATATATGAAAAACTATAAGAAGTATGCTCTATGGTTGCCCAACCATTGGGATCCTCCATACCAGAAAATTATAGCTATTTTTCTGTAAAAGAAGATAGAAGAAAGTACATACCTTTATAGTAATATGTTTTGGAAATGAAATCTGCTCTTCTTGAATAAACCATTTGCTCTTTATAAACCTGTAGACTATTTCCCCCCAGAGAATGTATATAAATCCTTCTGCTCTAGAAATTTAAAAGAGTAGTAGAATATAAGAGGACAAGTATTGTGTGAGCTGTTTTTTGCAGAAGTCACATGTTTATATAATACAAGCAAATGGTAATATATCACATATATGTATACTATGGGTGCATCCTACTTCACATGTACATATGTACTCATATTATTTAAAAATAAAATACTTCGTAAATGAATAGCTTGAAAGTAGTAATAATAATAATAATAATAATAAAAGGGGATTCACGGGTCTGCATGTTTCTATTATTTGGCAGACAACCAAACTGCCATCTTGTTTCTATTCTTAGCAATAAATTCATGCATTTTTAAAATGAAATAAGAAAAGAAAATGAGAAGTGATGTAAACTACAAAGAAGAAGAAAGTATGTAGCAGTGAGAAGAATAAATATAAATAAGCACTATTGAAAAAAAGGACAGAACTCAAGAGGACAATGAATTTAATGCTAAGAGTTGTACACTCAACGATTATACTACGTTCATTTTTTTGCTCCCCTTTCATCAAGTCTAAATTATTTTGGAAGTTTCAAAAGACAATGAATTTAATGCTATGAGTTGTACACTGAAATTAAACAAGAATGCAATCTTGATGCTTGACGTGATTTCTTTTAGAATTATTACTCTTTTATATTAACTAAATCTCTGTGAATGAACAACACGTTTTTTTTGTTTGTTTGATAAGGCAAGTCACGTACGATAAAAATTGATTTTACACGTACCTATCAATCTATATATATACTACTATATGTATATTATACTATGTGATAGTGAATATGTGATAAGATTGCACTGCATAATTGAAATACATGTGACAATTTCTCACTATTTCGGTACTAATATACGTACACACGGACATACCTATATTAGTAGTTATTAATGATATAGATTTAATACTAAGTATAGATTACTACATCTACGTAATAAAAGTGATGCATATAATTATTGTTATCGTACGTAGTAGTTATTAATATATTGTTTATTAAATAAACATATTATGTGTATCTAATCATATTATCTATACAAACCATTAACTAATTAATTTTAAATTAATTATGATGTAGTTCATACATGGCTAATATTAACAAAAGAGAGTTCGACGTCCTTGATTTATCTGGTCAAAAGTACTTGGAATGGAAAGTTGACGCTTTGGCACATTTAAAAGCAAATGCTCTCAAAAACACAATTGGTGAAAATAATTCAGCTACTCCCCAAAATAGGGCAAAAGCCATTATCTTTTTTCATCACCATCTTCACGAAAGTTTGAAGTCTGAGTATTTATTGGTAGATGATTCTAAAGAATTATGGGATAATCTCCAAGAAAGGTATGGCCATCAACAAAAGGTCCTTTTACCAAAAGTTCAATATGACTTGATCAATTTACGATTCCAGGATTATAAATCTATAAGTGATTACAATTCTGTCCTGTTCCAAATAACATCAAAACTAAAGTTATGCAGACAAAAAGTCACTGATAATGAAATGTTGGAAAAAACTTCGTCCACTATGCATCTTTCAAATATGCTTTTACAAGAGCAATATAGACAAAATCACTTTCAAAAGTATTCTGATTTAATATCAGTATTACTACTTGGTGAGACAAATAATGACATTTTGATGAGAAAGCACAATATGAGACCCACGGGTTGTAGCCCTTTTAGTTTTGGTCCACAAAATCATGATTCAAAACATGAATCAAATGCAACCCATAGTGGTGCTCGTGGACATTTCAAACGTGGTCGTGGTATTGGTCTTTATAATGGACCTAGCCGGGGAAACAAACTGAGTAGTAGCTCATTTTACAAAGGAAAGGGAAAGCAAAACCCCCATCAAACAAAAGGCCCGACGAAATCTTCAGAAAAGGCCAAAGTCACTTGTTTTAAATGTGGCACGTTGGGACATTGGGCAAATAAATGTCGTACACCTAGACATTTGATTGACTTATATGAATCATCTATAAAAGGAAAGAATGTGGAAACTAATTACGTCAACGAAAACGTTCCACCAATACCCACATTTAATATGTCTGATTTCTATATGGACGATAATGAGATGAACACTGGCATCGTCATTGGTGAAAAATAATAATAATAAAAATGAAATTATTCTGTTATGTAATATATTCTACAATAAAGTTTGTTTTATTGTAATTTTTATTTGGTGTGCTTGTTTCGAGACTGAAATTTCTCCAAATGGCTTTGAACAATGTTTCATAGACAGTGCCACAACACACACCATTTTGAGACATATAGATTATTTTTCTCATATGACATTAGTTGATGCTAATGTCAATACAATCTCAAGTGTTGCTAAACTCATTGAAGGTTTTGGGATAGCCTGTGTAATTCTCCCAAAAGGGACAAAATTAATAATTAAAGACGCTTTATACTCCAGTAAATCACGGAGAAATCTTTTGAGTTTCAAAGATATGCGTCTAAATGGTTTTCACATTGAAACCATGTCTGAAAATCAAAAGGAATATTTATGTCTAACGACAAATAGATCTCACAATAAATACATTTCAGAAAAAATGTTAGCATATTCCTCTGGACTATATTATACATTATCAGTCCAATTGAGATAAATGTGTTATCTAAAACTAATGACCACAATTCCTTTATCTTGTGGCATGACCATTTAGGTCATCCACGCAACACTATGATGCAAAAAATTATTCAAAATTCACTTGGACTTTCACTAAATAATGTCAAAATTCCACAATCAAGTGATTTCTCGTGCACTGCCTCTTCTCTTGGCAAATTAATTATCAGGCCATCTTTATACAAAATTGGAGTTGAATCTCCTGTATTATTAGAAAGAATTCAAGGAGATATTTGTGGGCCAATTGCCTCTCCGTGTGGACCATTTCGATACTTTATGGTGCTCATTGATGCATCAACACGTTGGTCACACATCAGTCTTTTATCAACTAGAAATTTTGCATTTGCAAATCTCCTTGCTCAAATTATTTGTTTGAGATCACAATTTCCGGATCATTCAATAAAGAAGATCCGACTTGATAATGCAGGGGAATTTACATCCCAATCTTTTAATGACTATTGCATGTCAATTGGGATTGAAGTGGAACACTCAGTTCCACATGTGCATACACAAAATGGTCTTGCTGAATCCTTAATTAAGCGATTACAATTAATTGCTAGACCATTATTGATGAAATCCAGATTACCATCATCTGCATGGGGATATGCTATAATGCATGCTGCAAATTTAATTCGGCTTAGGCCAACTGCATATCATAAATTTTCCCCATTGCAATTAATATTGGGTAAATAACCAAATATATCACACAAAAATATTTTGTTGTTCTGTGTATGTACCAATTGCTCCACCTTATCGTACTAAAATGGGTCCTCAAAGAAGGCTGAGAATTTATGTTGGTTTTAAATCTCTCTCAATTATTAATTATCTAGAACATATGACTGGTGACTTATTCACCTCACGGTTCGATGACTATCATTTTGATGAGAAGGTATTCCCAGCCTTAGAGGGAGATAATAGAGAAATGGACCCACATACGAAAGATATTATTTGGAATGCAACAAATTTATCTTTTCTTGATTCTCGCACAAATGCTTGTGAACAAGAAATTCAAAAGATCATTCATTTACAAAATGTTGCAAACCAATTGCCTGATGCTTTCACAGACTCAAAGAAAGTGACAAAGTCACATATTCCAGCTATGAATGCTCCTTCTCGAATAGAAATTCTTACGGAGATTAGCGAAAGAACTCTTGCTAATGAATCTATGATACGTAAAAAAAAGTGGTAGACCACTTGGTTCAAGAGATTTGAAACCAAGAAAATTAAAAAAGCAAAATGCAGTTTGTGATGCCAAAGAAGTTCAACCTTCTCAAGAAGAAAATGAACATTTTGAAAATATTGGCTTTGACGATAACATCAATAATAATGATACCTCAAAAGAGGATCCAATCACCTTTGAAGAGGTAAATATTCCAGATAAAGATAGAAACGTCGATAATTTCGAAATTTCAATCAATTACGTTTCTAATGGAATATAATGGAATAGAAAAGATATTCATATTAATGATATATTTTCATATGCCATCGCTACAGATATAATGAATGAACACGATGACAATGAGCCTAAATCTATTGACGAATGTCGTCGTAGAAACGATTGGCCAAAATGGAATGAAGCGATTCAGGTAGAACTAAAATCGCTAGAAAAGCGTAATGTTTTTGGACCAATTGTTCACATGCCAAAAGGCGTAAACCCTGTAGGTTTTAAATGGGTTTTTGTGCGTAAATGCAACGAGAAAAATGAAATCGTTAGATACAAAGACCGACTTGTTGCCCAAGGTTTTTCTCAAATGCCAGGAATCGATTATGATGAGACGTATTCTCCAGTAGTTGATGCTACTACTTTACGATTTTTACTTGGCATGTCTATTTTTGAAAGGCTGCAAATGCGACTAATGGATGTAGTGACCGCATATTTATATGGTTCACTCGATACAGACATATATATGAAAATTCCTGGAGGCTTTAAAATACCTGATGCTTATAGCTCGAAATCTCGAGATTTATTTTCCATAAAATTGCAAAAAGTCTTTATATGGATTAGAACAATCTGGACGCATGTGGTATAACCGTCTAAGTGAATATTTGATCAAAGAAGGATACAAAAATGATCCTATTAGTCCATGTGTTTTCATTCAGCGATCTGAATCAGGATTCGCCATAATTGCAGTATATGTTGATGATTTGAATATAATCGGAACTCCCAATGAAATTGAAAATACTGCTAAATATCTCATGAAAAAAATTGAAATTAAAGACCTTGGGAGAACAAAATTTTGTCTCGGCATTGAAATTGAAGATTTGAGAAATGGTATTTTTATCCACCAATCAAATTATACCGAGAAACTTTCGAAGCGGTTTTACATGGAAAAAGCTCACCCACTCAATTCTCCAATGGTGGTTCGATCTCTCAATGTGCATGATGATCCTTTTCGACCTTGTAAA